CAGAATTAAGAGAATGACATGGGAGCTGGATTCTTTATATGACAAGCTGCACATGGACACATGATATAAAAGGAACAAGTATCAATCGGGTCGAAATGTGCCAGAAAATAATACCAGAAGAATTTTAAGAGATGTGACTTAATAGTAGTTGAGGGAGAAGTCTATAGAGGGAGAAAGTTCCATAATCTAGCGTCATCATTGCTATTATCAGAAAAGAATTTAACATTTAGAGTTATCTTCTTAAACTCTTCCTGTAAGATCTCCAAAATATTGCCTCCTTCAGCTAACACGACCTCTCTTCTTATTGCTGCCATACACAATTAAAGCCGCCATTTTTAAATGGGCGTGTGACCACACCCACCATGCATGTGCTAACTCACGTAACATTCATTATAGATATTATAGACTACGTAACCGGGATTGGAAACTAGGATTCCCCAGTGGACAACGTCCGTGATTGAATAGGGCGTTAAATAGAATAAATTTGACCATGTGGCTTGCTTTTCATGCGGAATTAATGAATTTTTGGTTTTAAAGCAGTATTATAGTCAAATGCAATGCATGAATTAAAATGCTAAACCCCCAATTCCATGCACACAATATCAACCTATCATTACCCAAAAGGAGAAACCTCTGCTTGTTTTGTAAAAGTTGTAACAGGTACGACAGTGGACTGTTCGCAGAAACAGTATTTTAGATATTACTCCTCTGACATAGCAAATCAGTAAATGAAACTATGACAGTTCCATGCACAATGATTGTGGTAACATTTCCAATGATCTTGTTAGTCTATTTTTACCCGTGTAATAGAGTAACAGGTACAAAATTTTTGAAAATTTGCAAGTAACAGAAATTTGAACAATATTATAATATATTTGCAAAATAACAATGGTATCATTATTTTTTTCATTATAGTCATGTCATAGGCAGCGGTAGGGTCGGGCATGGACGGGCAATGCCCGACCAAAAATTTTGACCGGAAATGAAAATTAATTAATGACATCATTTTTAGTCATAAATAATTACCATGGCTAGCAAAAGACAGTCATTTCTGCTTTCCTTTGTCAACAAGCCTTCCAAGAGGACCAGGACTAGCACTTTACAGGTTGGATATAGCTTTACATATGAGATAGGGGGCCTTTTAGGCGCATTTTTATGCTTTATCATATTGTATGCGTGTGTTGAGTATACGCCCAAAATACGCGGAGAAAAAGTGGGTGTGGCTAAAATCACGGCGCGCTTTGCGCACCATTTCTTGCCCGACTGCTGTTCCAATCCTGCCGCCGCCTATGAGTCATGTTACATAAACACTAAAGTATTGAAATATTATTAAAATAACAAAAAATCAACATTGGTTTAAATACAATCTTCCTTTGAATGTCGTCGATGAGTAGCCATTTTTTGACCACACCCACCAAAATCTAATCACGGACCCTGTATCAGCCTGTTTGTACTGGTTTGAATGGATCACGTGAGCTAGTTTCCTATCCCGGTTACGTAGTCTCTAATATCTATGCATTCATTATAATAACACTAGAATGTGACACTCTAAGCTTACAATGTGACATTCTAAGCTTACAATGTGACATCATAGACTTGGGAATTTTGATACTAACGGCGTGCCATATGGTCGGAATAGCCCCAGTTAGAGGGTCCTCTTTCTCCAGTTGTAACTTCTTAACTATAGCAGATACAGGACTGAAACAAGGATGTATCTATTCAGCATAGAATTTTCTAACTACCAACATCAAAAACAGCTTGATCTTTATAAAGTGCAGCTAAGCAACTCTGGCTAAAAATTTGAGTTCATTAGCTTTTTCACATATTATCACCTAGTGATAGTAGCGATATATTGATTCTTTATCGATATAAACGATATTTTACGGAATCAATTTGAATCATTATCGAAAATTTTGTGCAATTTTCATCGATCTATTGACCACGCCCATTTATTAAGGCTAAATAACTAATTTTAATAAGTAATTGCACTGTTGAACTACAAGAAAGAGGCAACTGACCAGTTGTTAGCTCAGCCTACCCCAATAAGAAGAGAAACAAGGCTCAAGAGCATGGAAATGGTCTTCTCTCATGTCCAGTACAGTACCAAAATTATTAGCCACACCCTTGACACACCCCTAAATGAAGGTGTGGTTATCGTATCATTAATAATCGATATTTCCTCAAAAAGTCCATTATCGATCATTATCGAAAATTAAGAAAATTGGCCATATCGCCCATCACTAAGTGATAGTGCTTGTATATCTCCGGTCACTGCATAATTTCCCCGTATACTAGTTAGTATCCAGAGGGTCGGAATAGCCCCGGTAGGGTCGGAATAGCCCCAACAACTAGGTCAGTGAAAGCACTGTTTTCATCCAAAGTTGAAGCTGACTTTTGCTGATTTCAAGAAAGTACAAATAGAATAGACAAAATAGAACTCATTCATGAATAAAATAAATGAAATAAAGCAAAAAAGAGTGAGTTATGACTTTGTGAATATTTAATTAGATCATAGTGCAGGAACGGGTCGGAATAGCCCCGAGTTACTCTAATGCTGATTTCATTGATAGTAAAGTAATGTAAACAAACACTACAAACACTCTGCACTGTCAGTTGATATAAAAACTGGAGTCAAGGTGTTAGCACTGCATACAGGTGGCATATTATATCAGATTAATTTTATGAATGCCAACAATGCAACTTAAGATATATTCATGTTTACCACAGTATAAATTTAATAATTCCCTTTTTTTAGGAATAATGAGAACGTTTCAAAAAATTTTAATGATGGAAAAAATTCCAGCTGTTAACATTCGCTTATTGGTTATTGGAAGAACGGGACATGGAAAGTCTACCTTAATTAACAGCATCATTGAGCAATGCAGAGAAATATCACCCGAAGGAGCAAGACGTAATTCATGCACTACAAAATCAAGATCGTTTACTTACCCTGACGTGATTCCAGGCATTAACGTCACACTAATTGATTCTCCTGGTCTACAACATGCTAATGGAGAGGAGCAGAAATACATCCAAGAATTAAAAAGTGAATGTAAAGAAATCAGTTTGGTTCTATACTGTACAAATATGAAAGATTTCCGAACTACCAAAAGTGACAAAGATGCGATACAGAAGTTACACCAAGCGTTTGGTTCTAATTTCTGGAAGAGAGTAGTGTTTGTCCTCACTTTTGCTAATGAGGAAAACTGTGCACGGAGGGATGACAGAGATGGAGATGAATCTCATTTGCTTCCATGGAAAGAAGTCAAGAAAAATCGATTTAAGAATCGAGTGAAGTTAAGCGAAAAAGGAATAAGCAATTTTGTGAATGAATGTCTGGGCATTAATGAAGATTTTGAAGCTGTTCCAGCTGGATGCTACCAAAAAGATGGTGATTTTAGTGATGACCCGAATGATGATCTGACAAAGCTTCCTGATGGAGAGGACTGGTTGCATAACACTTCTTGAATTATGC